ACACACACACACACACACACACACACACACACACACACCAGCAGCATCTAAGTGAGGGACTAATGAGAGGAGCGGAGAAGTTTTGACATTTCGTTAGATGATGCTGTTCCACATGAGCTTTAAAGCAAAGTTAATGGGTACTAGCTTAACAGGAAGAGCAAATCAATGACTGGCTAAGTGAGGCAAAGAGAGGGAACACTTGGGCCTATTTAAACTAAGCGTGACTTGCTCAAGGCAATACAATATTTACAGTCCATTATTCATCCACTCTTATCACTGAGCTTACTGGAGAATCATATCTATATTATATCTATATTTACATTATGTTTACTCATTTGACAGACACTTTTGCAGCAACTTACAACTGATGGGAGACATAGTATAGTAGGAGACCTTGAAGTATGTGCTAAGTGCTGAATCTGTTCAGTAGGAGTTGGAGATCAGGTAAAGAAGTGAACAACAGTAAGTGCTGGTTTGGCAGGTTAGGGCGTTAGGGATGAGCTCCAGTGGACAGAAATGCATGGCTGCCAATAGAGCACGATCAATATAGATTTCATCATGCATACTCCAACTGCCTCGTAGTGCAAATAAACAATAAAAATGAAATATCATGACACGCGCACAGGGATAAAATATTTACAACCCATTTACTAAACAAGGTTAGAATGTCACAAGACCCCCCCCCCCAAATATATACATTTTCTTACGATGTCAACATAAAAATGCCATTTCACCGTTTAAATTACAATTATGAGCTTTGAATACATCCTCCCCTCATCATCAATCTCTAACTGAAGCCTGATTTTCATCTTTATCTATAATTTAGAAATACTTCTATATAATCAAATTCAGAAGATGGCAACTATTCAAAAGATCACTGAGAAGATTTAATCAAGTTTCTCATTCAAAATTTCTAAACATACCAGAGAAAGAAAAAATATATTTCTGTTGCAGCTGAAAAAAAAAGTAATGAAAGAGTACGATTTTTAAATTTATGAGATGATCATTTATCTCCTAAAGATGCCATGATTCAGATACATCACTGTTATTAATGGTAAAACATGTTTTTTCATGAAGGTGAAGCATTTTTTCTGAATAATTTCCATACCCAAACACCATTTAGAATTACTTGATTAATGATCAGGTTCACGTATTATTCAAGTCCAGAATGAGGAAGATGTTTTAATATTCAATGTGATCATCTGCTAAAAATAAGACAAGTGCATATGGAGACGTGTTATTCCAGATACATGATGCTATAAGACCCCATTATTTGCAGTACAAAATTAACATCCATTGTTTATTTCACTGTCATCTTACCTGGCTGCTGAATAAGGCCTGGGCTGCAGTTTCGGCACATGCTCTGAAAGGCAAGCACAACTGTCAGTTATCCTGCCGTTATGCTAAGATTTTGTTTCACAGACACCTATGACAGAGCGGAGACAAAACAACTGAAAGTCATCTCGCTCCATTGAGACGTCCTACCTACCAATCTATCCTCGGCAACCCCCACCCAGGTTACACTCTTGTTTCTAGGACACACTTCTATATTTATGAAATTACAAACTCAGGGTTATGGAATCCCATGTGTCCAGATGTGGAGCCACTAAGAAACAGATTGCTTATGCAGACCTTATTTCAATGCCAGCCATGAAGGTGCCCTCTTTTGGGCAATATGTAGTGTGCATTACATCTGGGAGGTGATGTCAGAAAAATCTGGCAAATTAGCATGAGTCAGAGACAACTTCTGATGCTGCAACAACAGGATAAGCCATTTGTGAATCTGCGACTCCACAGAGAATGATTGAGAGTTGTGTGATGTGCTTGCTATGCACTCCCTTACATTCTATTTGTATTTCAGTGACAGATGAACCTGGGAAAGTAACGGTGCACCATATGTACCAGCTGAGGCCCCACAATAACACATTTTTCTGCCAAAGTGCTTGGGAAGACGAGCAGCTGGACGAAGTCTGCTCTCTCCTCCATTCCTGGATGTCTCTGACATCTTAACAGCTCAGAATGTTAGTGAGGCAGCTCCACACTTTGACGTCCATTTAATCTCTTTGAGCTGGGGGGGGGTGTTTAAAAAATGTTGAAGTGTGAAACACTTAAAAGAAATTCTGGAAGAAAGCTTTTAGACAAAAACATAAACTCTGCACAAACAGTCACTTTTCCATTGACTTAACTGATCCAGATTCCTTCTATTCCTTCATATTTTTAAGATGAATAAACAGTGATCTAATGACAGATTAGCTAAATATATGAACATACTGCATACAAAACATCTAATTTTGCCAATTACTTGGAGAAAATCTTATCAAGATAAACATCAGGCTTGAAGCACTTATTTAGTTTCTTCTGCTATTTGCTGTACGACTTGTTTGAAGCTTCGCAAATAAACATATGGTATCCCGAGGGAAAACAGAAGTATATATATATAGATATAGATAGTGTGTTTATCATTTGGTTTGTATATGTACTACGAGATTTCCCTTCTTGTTGATATTTTTGATTAAGGCTGTGATGGATAAAAAATCCGCTGGAGGAAGTTCCAGGGAGACCAAGACGTCTTAGCATAAGAGAGATGAGCAGGACGAGTTCACGCTGTGTAATTCCACAGTTCTTCAGGCAGTTCTTTGCAGGATGTATCTAAACCAAAATGTTCTTACACGACACAAACTTATGTTGTAAATCCTCATCACCTCTGCCCCACTGAGAAAGACAAACTTAAAAAGATGTTAGACTGCATGGACAGGCAACTTTTCCTCAGAGAGCTAAGATTACAGGCTGGCCTTGCTTTGATATAATCAATATGCTTGTTCCGTGGATCCAGCCCACAGTGAGTCATTGGTAAATAAATCTTCATAAATAAACATCACTAAGCTGCAGCAGATTGGATAAAAAAAAATACTTCATGTTTTCAAAGTTTCTAAAAAAAGGGGCAGAAAATAAGTTTCTGGACAATCATCACATATTCTGCAATCCTTCAGTGAGACCACTTCAACGAATGCATGTATCATGCACGTTAACACGATCTTCTGCCGCCGCACAGCGCTCGAGTTCTTTCACAGAGAGACAGTACATGTCTCTAACAGAGAACGATCAATCCATCATCTCACATCCCTGCACCATCATCATACTGCTGCTGGATACAAAGAATAGATCACTGTTAAACTGTGTCTTTGTCGCAGTAAGTGGCTTGAGGATACATCTGAAAACATGTATTTCAAAAAGGAAAAAAAGAAGTTCCAAAAAATACAGTCCCAGGGTTCCAGCGATGTTTTCCAGAGATGATCATTTTCAGGCGGTATCATCGATCATACTGCACAGTGTTATAATCTATTCCATTCCAAAAGTCTCTGTGTCGGAATTTATAAGCAGAGGCAACATTTTAGTGGGGGGGGAAATGAGATAGCAGTGTGGTTGAGCATAGAAGTTATACATCTTAAGATGTATGGATAGTTTCTTTGGCTGCAGATGAAATTAAGGAAGTTGTTAGCATTAAAGCGTGAGGATGAATTCTCTGTGGGAAGGTTTGGTTCTTTTTTTACACTGCTCTCAAATGCTAATATCAAGTTCTGAGAAAAGAGGCTGCTAGCCCATGGTTTTCCCAAAACCATTTAAAATGTTTTCCCAGGTATTTTATTATATACTTTTTTTTAATTAAAAAGGATATATATATATATATGTGATATGCGGTACATTCTCTGTGACCAGGAAACTTCATTTTAAATTTCATATTTCTCCGAAGAGAGAAAGAGCTCCTGCCTCTTGAGATACAGACATATTCTCTTTACTTTACTTCAGTTAAGTTTACTTTCTTCCACAGGTCACAAAGAAAAAAAAAAAAAGAAAGAATAAACCTGCACCCTGGTACAATTTTATTTGAGCCCTGCAGCAAAGTAAATTGAAAAAGATGCTCATGGACAGCATTCAGTTCCCAGAGGCTATGACCCCAAACTTTTTTTTATCTGACACACTATATGAAACAATGGAGCATATAACAGGAGAGCTGACAGTGAGAGGCAGGTACCCTTCTCGGTTCATACCCAGCATTTACTTTTAGACCCCGTCTGCACTCAGCCAGAGACATCTGGACCTCCACATATCTCTCCTCATTATTTACCGTCAGTGTATTACATCATGAACTCTGATCAGCAAACACCTTTCCCTCGGTCGGGCTAATGAACCAAGAACTGTACAAAAAAATGCAGCAGTATACTTATACTGACACAATGAGTCAGAGTTGACCATTAACCTACAACCCAGGCCGAATGCGCGCTTGTGTCCTTGCTCAGCTCAGCGTCTCACCAGTAAACGGCCCCATGTCCACTAAAGTAACAGCTGTTGCCCTGAAGGTCCTGGAAATGCATATTTTTCACGAGGGCACCATTGGCCCGATTTGCCTTCTGCATCGGCTCACCACCGGAAAAGGTGCTGTGGTTGGCAAGTAAAAGTCAAAAATATGTGACATTGGGGTGGGGCCGAGAGCTGTGACACAGCTGCTTTTAGAGGACGATTCAAGTTGTATGTGAGGCTGTAGCCAACTCATTTCACTGTCTGGTAAGTTTCAGTCAAATCTTATTAGATCTATAGTGAAGGAGCGGCCAACTGTCCTAATGAGCTGAGAGAAAATGTTAGTTTTACACCAACAGCTGGCTCAAAGGGTCAAAGACGGGGTGGTGTAGATTGCACACAGCAGCAAAATAAACGATCTGTATTATTGGCAGGGAAGTAGATCATAATAAAAACTGAGAGAGTGGCTCTTTACTTGTAGCTGCAATAATACAATCATAACCACAGCAAAAATATACTGGACAACGATATTATCCTTCGGGGAGCCCACCGATGGACAGTGTCTGACTATTCAGTGCAATTAAATGCTCTCACAAAGTCTACCTGTCACCAGTGCACACAAACCTCTGTTTACTGGGGCTACAGTGACCCCTACTGGTCTACAATTAACCAAACAGACAAACCCACCTGACTACAGATGGTAAGAACTAGACATAACCTGAGGTCTCATTAAAAGTGAAATGACTCGTTCTGAAGTGAAATATTCCAGTGATGATTTGGACAGGGAGCAGCCAAAATCACACTCACATGTCAATCACTGTAATTTCCCTTTCCCTTAAAGCAACATGAAAGCTGGCTTTTAATTCAATGTGACTCTATTATAATCAAATTAAAAATGAAACAAAAAACATCCTAAAAACATGTCGGGATATTCTTATTTCTCATTAGCTACTGGATTTGTCTTGTGACTTGAAGTAATAATGAAAAATAAATAAATGTGATTTCTGATCTGACTTTACACTTGTTTGCCTGTGAAGTGATGAATCCCGCAAATCCCGACAGTTTTTACTCAATACCACTGAGAAATATAGACACACAATACTTTTGGACCTTATAACTGAATGACTGATCGACTGTGTAAGATAACAGCAGGGATTCTGACCTATGAGGAGGCTGAGGGGAGGCGAGCAGGACGGAAAGGCTGCGAGCAGCTCCGAAACGCTGAGGCTCGCGTCTCTCATGTACAGGTTGTAATCTGCGGCGCCTTGTTTGCTGCAGAGCTCCTGCAGTCTCCTCCTCTGCACGCCGTCTGCCGTGTGCTCCACCAGCGCTCGTAGAAACGCCTGACAAGAGAGAGAAATTGCACGTGAAGTCGCTTACTCAGACGCCTGCTCACCGCTGTAAAAAGAGCAGCCAGTAAACACATTTTGTGCAGGAAAAACATCAGTGCCACTCTGTGCACAGGCCGCATAAAATGTAAATCTTTACACCTTTACTGCGTAAAATAAGAGGTAGACCAGCCTGACACTAACTCAGTTATGGAATACAGACAATTTAATATGCACAATGCACTTTCTGCCCCATAAAACTGTCATTTAGGTTTTAAATGCTTTTCAAGCCATGGAGAATTAATAGAGGCAAATTAATCAATATCAATTCATATGTTAAATCTGCGGAAGACAAGCTGCAGCTTAAGAGAAATGTCATCGATAATTGTTTATTATTCTTTCTGTAGGCAGTTATTTAAATTGCAAGATTAAAAAGGGTTCATGGAGAAAAATTTAAATGCAACAGCTGCTAAACAATTAGAGTTATTCTACTTTATTCTGCAGCAACTAATCAATCTGATACAGCAACAGAAAACTCTAAATATTTGTTGTGCCAAGTCCTCTGGAGATTTTCAGTGATTCATTTAAGTTTACGAGTGCACATATGCAGAAATCACTAGCACATTCTTGCTGCTGGCTGCTTGAATTATTATCCTCATCTTCCAATCCATTCAATAGACCCAGCACTTCACCAGTATTCGACTCGTGTCAAGCGATGTTGACTGTAAATGTCAGAGCCTCTGAAGGGAATGAGTGATATACTCTCACATTTGTCTCAGTAGAAATGGTGAGACAAGAAGTAAACCTACCTGTATATGACGCTATTACACATATTATTGGGAATTGTACTCACTATAAGATGCTGCTGGGGTTATTATATTTCACTATCCTAAAAATCGTGGCTTTTAAAAAATTATAGGTGCTGTAAATGCTTTTGTAAAACAGATAAACTGCTTGGACTACATAGGCAGGCGTTGTAAAATAAAATCCTTACTGCCTTGTAAGTCTGTAGACAACACTCTGACCTGCAGCAATCAATTTCTGTGCAGGCGTTTAATAACAGGGGAGAGAAGGAGTGTGCACAAGTAAGCAGCAGGGAAGTCGATGGATAGAAGCTGTTCCAATTCAGACTGAGGCTGAAAAGTTGAAAAACATCAGACATTTGGACTATTAGTGTCCCCTCAATCTTATCGCATAACATTTTATTTTTATGTTAAGTGTGTGCTGCAAACTGCACAATATATTAAATTATGTTTTCTTGAGGAGCAACTGGATTGCTGCCATATTTTGACATTTAAACAAATTGTCTTCATTTTGTCATTTGCTGTGACTGTTTACAAAAGCCAAGGAATTACTGATGCAGCTCAAGCCAGAGGGAAATTAATAGTTTTCAATTTCATTAGAATATGGAGTTTTTTTTATTGAATAATAAATTGAACTTGCATAATCAAGATGAGGACACAATGTTGAGCAAAGGTACATTCCAGGATGGAAATTAGAAACAGGATAAAGAGTGGAGGAAGTGTCAGCCACTGTGAGCAAAGCCACTTTCCCACTGATAAAAAAACCCACTAACATGTGGCTTTTGTCTGCAACGGAGATGGATACAATCAGCATTCACTCCCACGTCAAATGACTCCGAACTTGACACTGTTCCTGCTCCGATAGGCACTGATGGAAACATGAGACCCAGGTGAACTCGCCAAAGGTCAAATTGCATGTGGCATGTTCATTAAATATGTTAATTTCCATTGTCCAAATAGAACACAGGAAAGTCGAATCATTATTTCAGCCTTGAGCAATACCAAGTAAATTTAGTCCTGTCTGAGCTCATTAAAACAAACTATGGACCCCTGCAAACATTTTGGGTCATAACAGATTGTTTCAGTACCAATAGGTTTGCTCAGTAAAGACACAAGTGCCGAGGGAAACAGTCAAAGTGTAATTGCACTTCTGCCTGAGGAGTAATACACTGCTCCCCAAGCTTTTGACAATACAAATAAAAGCAGTGTGCTCTGGCTGGAGAAAACATGACACTTAAATAAAAAAGAAATCACCCTCTTATTATGCTGACACACTAAAAGAACAGGTTGGCTGGCTCGGTTGATGCAATTTACAAAGTCAGTCGCTGCAGAGCAATGTTTGGAGACACTGTACTCTACCTTCTTAGGGACGCTTCGGATCTCCAGACACCATGTGAGCAAGTACAGCAAAGAAATGTTCTGGGGGATGTAGGGTGGCACCTGGGCACCTTCAGCCAGGGAGCAGAGAGCATCAGAAATAGATCATGATAAAATAACCTTTTGAAAAATTAAAATAAAAACATTTATATGAAATGTGCATAGGGGATGTTGTGCTGTCAGAGCTGTGTAATGTTATGTAAATAAACATGATAGAATGTGACAAATGCAACCTCACCTTTTTTCTTATGATCCTTTTTTAGGGAAACATGGACATGACAGTTCCTCTGGTCATGAAGGCCCAATCTGTGGAGCATCTCCTCCACCTCTGTGGCTCTGTTTGGGCAGAACACATCAAACGAATCCCCCGGCTCATAGGCTATCGTCGGGTAAGCCTGAGAATAAAGAAGAGGCATCTAAAGTTTAAGCTGCCTACTAAATCTGTCTGGCTCCACACTGCAGGTTTAGAAAAGGCCACCGACATTATTCTGTCAAACTTACAGAGATGTCCAACTCTAAGAGAAGGGCTGTCTTGACTGAATCTCCTCTGGTCAGGTGCACTGTCCTGTTTATGGGAACCTCATGAAGACTTTCTTTGTTGGGCTGTCCAACAATCTGAATAAAAACAAAGAATAATAAGACGAAGAGTAAACTAAGGCACAAATACAGTTTTTTTATTAGCAGCATTATTCCTCACCTGTCCCAGTGTGCCCACATCCTGGAGAGATACATCCAAGTATGGTGGAGGCAGAGCAGGAACATTAAGAGCAGACTGTGACAGCGGGGGCAGGGAGCATGTCAGAGAGGCTGCCAGTGCAACATGGGGAACTCCAGCATCCCCAGGCTGTGTCTGCAGTGCTGGTGTAGAAACACTGTCAGTGCCACGAGACCCAGGAGAAGTAGCCCTGAGATTCGAATCAGCAGTTTGTGCAGCAGAGGAAGAAGATGAAGCTACAGGTGCATATTTGGAGTCTGGGTCTACAGATGCTGTGAGTGACTTGCAATTCTGTCCATCATTAAGGCTTAGGAGGTTAAGTTTAATGTCTGGTATGTGTGAGTCAGGGGTTTCCTCTGGTAAATCCCTGTTAGAAGCCATTTTTGATAATGCTCCTTTAATTGCTTTCCAGAGTCCTTCAAGCCAGGGGTCCACAACCAATTCCAGTCTGGGGAGAGCAAAGTTTAGAAGATGATAAATGACAGCGGAGTAGTCAAAAGAAGAGACAGATAAGATGATAAGACATATGTGGGTAAGTTAAAGGAGAAAACTGGAGGTCCAGACTTTAGTTCTCTGCAAAACGTACCCTACACCATCATCTGCATATCCTGTAGCATAGAATTGTGTGGCTCCAAGTTCCTGTAGACGACGCTCAACTGTCTTCCCGCAGTTGCAGAAATTTGCATAGTTTGTGTCTCCTAAAGCTGGAGCAGACAGAGTGAAACAGATGATGTATTGACACATATTGACCCATTTTGACACACGAGCTGCAAAGAGAGCTGTTGCAGACCCTCATACTACATGATAGAATTTACCTAAAAGTGCATAGCAAAGGTGTTTATAGTGGTCAGTGGAGAGAGTCTTCTTCTTGATGCGCTTTACAAATTGGAGGGCATTGTCTGGCGGCTCCCCGTCTCCAGTAGTAGACACAATAAAGACCACGGGGGCATTCTCCTTCTCCAAATTGTACTGGAACCATATGAATAATCAGTGACTGGTGTTTCCAAAGTCCATATGAAAACATATCAGATTAATATCCCAACAAATCATCAGGCAATATCACTTTTTTGAGATGTTACTGATGTGTTACTGTGCATCTTTAGCCATGCAGTGAAAGAGGGGCTTAACAAGCTCTGCTTCAAGGAAAAGTTACCTTCTCATTCTGACTCAAGCAGCTGAGTTCAGCTACAAGTCCATGGTCCTGGGCCTCCTCCGCTATCCCCTCTGCTAATGACTGAGCTTGACCCTTCTGAGACCCGTACAGAACCAGGAACCGAGGCTGCGCTTCACAGGGCATGCTGGAGCGTTCCAGACAAACAATGACATTTTAGATTTCTTAATTGACACTATTCATCAAAACAGACATCTTGACTTGTCATAGTGAGCAACAGAGATTGCACCGAACTTTACAGCTTCAAAATATTTCTGAAAATCCACCTTTTCAGAACTGCTTTTAATACGTAATTAATGGCGTGTATTTTTTTATTTTATTTCTATTTTAACCTATGTGAAGTGTTTTTGAGCATTGTTAATAGTAACATAGAAATACAATGCATTATTATTGTTGGTATTATTATTGTTATGCTGGTTACTGCCTTTATATCCCATTTCAGAATATCTCTGGGTGAATTTTAATTTGTTTTATTTTGCGTTTTCATTTTATTGTTGTTTTATCATCTTGTGAAGCACTTCATAACTTTGTTAAGAAAAGTGCTATATAAAATATTATTATTATCGTTATCAAGCCAGATTACTATAGCTCATAGATAGATGGATGGATGGATGGATGGATAATTTATAAATCCTAAAAGACATTTGGGTATCTAGTAGCACAGAAAACAGTCAAAAACAAGAATAAGTACAGAAACATAGGTACAATTAATCTGCAGTGAGATGAAAGTCTAGCCACCAGAACTACTAAAAAGCTGTGTGCTGATGGGGATATTGGAAATACAGATATAAGATGATTGAAAATCAGAACTAGAGAAGAAGTAGAGACAGGGAAGTGGGATATTTACCCTGGTCCTACACAGTAACTACTTTATTATTATCACACTAATGTGCATCAGTGAAAATGCACAAGCAGCGAAGTTTGTAATCGATCTAAAGTCTTAACTACAACTCATAAGACCTAAAAAAAAATCCTATAAATTGATATTAAAAAGACAAAGACAGCAAGTAAATAATACAGAGATGGAGAGAATGAACGTGGCTGCAGCACAGCTGACAGACACTAAAAATCTAATGACACGAGCTGTGTTTAGACTTGATCTCCTCTTACCTACACACGTGAGGATTTGACAGGTGACACACAGACTGCCACAGAACAACCTTCCCTGCACACTGAAGCACAGCGGACCTCAACGCCACCATGGAGAACCCGGAAGTTGCGTCACTTTTTGACGATGACAGCATTCATGCAAATGCACGTGGATTCGAGCATTTAACATTTTCTATCCGAATTAAAAACAGCTCCATAATAATGAGGACGATAGCGGAGATGTGTTGGTTAGCTAGCAGTGACTGACAACCTCACAAACAGGAGTGATCCTGGTTTGAAAAAGAGCTAAATAGCGGTGACTTTAAAAACCAAAAGTCCAAGCGGGGTCCAGAGAAGACATTGAAACACGATATAACACATTTATAAATAAGCTGTGGTATTTGTAATAAGCTATATGTTTACCTTTAGCTGTATCTTTACAGTCCACTCCACTCTGCCCATGTGAATTATAGCAACACTTGATTTCACGCGAGATTACAGCGGACTGTGATTGAACGGGATCGGAAGAAACCACTTTACAGAAGACATTTACACGTTCTTACTTTAAAATATAATTCATTAAATACTCGAAACGATTATTAAGTATCATGTATTTTTTTTAATTAGCCCCGTCTCGCCATAAACCCCGAATGGGAGTGGATTAGTGAAACTCACTTCACACTACTTGGTTCCGCCCTCCCCGCCCGTGGAGTCTTCCAGAAGTCGCCGGCAGACCCGTGCGGCTCTTAGCTTAGCCACACTCCGGATCTCCACCATTAAACCTCATCGTTTCACCGGTTAAACTCTTGTTAAGTGTCCGGATCCCACAGTCAACATGTCCAGTATGGGGACATTAGCGTTCGATGAGTATGGGAGGCCTTTCATCATCATTAAAGACCAGGACAAGAAGACACGGCTAACGGGCATTGACGCACTAAAGGTACAATGGGCTAGCTTACTGCGGCATGATGGTTAGCAAGTTGCTAATTTGCTATTAGTCGCATGGCGTTTAGCACCTAACATGTAAACCGACGTGATATATGCTGCCATGTTTGATTGCTCTTAAATATACATCTTAATGACAAGTTGAGATGCTGGGGAAATTCAGCAGCAGTGGATAACGGATTAGCAAATCATGCTAACATGCGGCCCATGTGCTTTCTGGAAGGGGCTCAGTCAGGGGTGTTGCTATGTAGCATTGGGCTGTGCCCCGAATGGTTGTTATTGCTGCGCATCGTTTCCAGTGTGCCCCGCTGGAACACCAGCTCAGTCTGCATCGTGCGTCGGTTTTCGATGTAAATAGCGATAATGAGATCTGATGTAAATGTGAGCTGAATGTAATATCTGTGTCACTGTGTTTTTTGCAGTCTCACATTATGGCAGCCAAGGCGGTTGCGTCAACGCTTAAAACATCCCTGGGTCCTAATGGTGAGTATAACCCCCATCTGCCCCTCCCTCTGATCAGACTTTCAGGAATGGATGCTGAGCGTCTGTGTCGTGAAAATAATGTTTTTGTCTCAAGCTTCATACGTACCTGAACTACTTTTCCCTGTTTGCATCCAGGCCTTGACAAGATGATGGTTGACAGGGATGGAGAAGTGACCGTCACAAACGATGGAGCCACTATTCTCAGCATGATGGATGTGGACCACCAGATTGCCAAGTTGATGGTAGAGCTCTCCAAGTCCCAGGATGATGAGATTGGTGATGGAACCACTGGAGTTGTTGGTACGAGAAGGGAAGAGGGACTAGACTGATTAGTTTTTTACATTTATATATTTTTATTTGGCTTTATTCGTCTGTGGTGAGGTGTTCTTGGGGTCTCATTGCTGATGCCTCCAGCGTGCAACTGGTTTTATAGACCTGCCAATGAATTAACCCATTTATCATCATAATGTTATGCAACAGTAGATGAAAATAACAGTGATTTGATGTTATCAAACATGTTAACATCTCAAGAACCACTGGAATATTGCACCTTACAGTCGTGACATAATAATGTGCATCAGACATATGCCAAATAAAATTAACACGGAGTACTTGATGCAAAACCAAATTGTATTTCTCATAATGTCGATCTTGTTTTCATATTACGCTTATAATTGATCATTGTCTTGTTCCCTCTTCAGTGCTGGCTGGGGCTCTCCTTGAACAGGCTGAGCAGCTGCTGGACCGTGGCATCCACCCCATCAGGATCTCTGACGGTTACGACCAGGCTGCAAGCATTGCCATCGAGCAGCTCGACAAAATTGGAGAAACCTTCCCCTTTGATCCCAACAACAGAGAACCACTCATTCAGACTGCCATGACAACACTGGGGTCCAAAATGTGAGTCTTGTAGTCACTTCAGTTTTTATGAAGCTACTACAAATTTAACATGAACCGTTAATTTTTTTTATACTTGGCTGCTACTTTTCAATGTGGAAATTAAAAGGGACTGTTTCATAAGGTATATTTTAATTATAAGGCAACGGGTAAGATCTGCTCAGATACCTAATTTTATAGTTTTTCTTTTCTTTCAGTATCAACCGGTGCCACAGACAGATGGCAGAGATTGCAGTGAATGCCATCCTTGCTGTGGCCGACATGGATAGGAAGGATGTTGACTTTGAGCTGATCAAGATGGAGGGCAAAGTGGGAGGCAAGCTGGAGGACACACAGCTCATCAAGGGAGTCGTAGTGGACAAGGAGTTCAGCCACCCTCAGATGCCCAAGGTATGACCAAAAGGAAACCTCGTGCTCCAGAGGGTTTCATTGGCATAGGAATCAAAAAGTTTGCCGTACACAAGGACAAATTTAAAATTGAAGTGCATATGGTTGACAATTATGTATAATGTGATTTAAAATACTAGGCATGTATTTCAAAACGTTTGAGGGAAAATAAAACTCCACATCAATTACAGTATATGAGCTACAACTCCCAAGGGAACAATTACTTGATTTTTTACACTTAAGCTAAATACTGAAAGTTAAATTGCATTTTCCTCTTGCAGCACTGTAACTTATGAATGCTTACACCAGTTGTTTTTTTGTCACCACTCAGGTTCTGAAAGATGTTAAGATCGCTATCCTGACCTGCCCATTTGAGCCCCCAAAGCCCAAGACCAAACATAAGTTGGATGTGACCTCCGTGGAAGACTACAAAGCACTCCAGAAATATGAAAAGGAGAAGTTTGAGGAGATGATCCAACAGGTTAGTACTGCAGCATCTAAGCTACTTTATAAGGAAGTCTTAACATCTGCACTGACACGTGGTTAATCTTAACATTTACTCTTGTATTTATCTTTTAGGTCAAAAGTAACGGGGCTACCCTGGCCATCTGTCAGTGGGGCTTTGATGATGAAGCCAACCACCTTCTGCTGCAGAACCAGCTGCCGGCCGTGCGCTGGGTCGGAGGGCCCGAGATCGAGGTGAGACATTCGTCACTTGACAGAAGTCATAATTCTAAAAAATATTTTCTTTTGCAGCACAGTACAGGTTTGCCTGATTGATAGCATTTAAATTTACACCATCTGTCGTGTTCCTCCATAGTTGATCGCCATTGCCACAGGAGGCCGCATCGTGCCAAGGTTCTGTGAACTGACACCAGAGAAACTTGGCACAGCTGGTGTGGTGAAGGAGATCTCCTTCGGTACTACAAAGGACCACATGCTGGTTATCCAGGAGTGCAAAAACACCAGGGCAGTGACCATTTTCATTCGTGGAGGCAACAAAATGGTATGCACAGTGAATTATTACCTTTATGCAAAATATCTATATATGTTGTTGCGTCCCTCCTGGTTTACTTTTATTTATTTTTTTCCCGCTAACAGATCATTGAAGAGGCCAAGCGTGCGCTCCACGATGCTCTGTGTGTAATTCGCAACTTGGTCAGAGATAACCGCGTTGTGTACGGAGGAGGAGCTTCTGAGATTGCATGTGCACTGGCTGTCAACCAGGCTGCAGATAGAGTAAGAAGCACAAATGTGACAGAACAAAGAAATCATATGACTTTAAGATTGACTATTGAAATAAATATGATGATTCTCATGTTGATGATAAAATCTTTTAACCTCTGCTCCTTTTAGTGTCCATCTTTGGAACAGTACGCCATGAGGGCGTTTGCTGATGCTCTAGAGGTCATCCCGATGGCGTTGGCAGAGAACAGTGGGCTGAACCCTATCCAGAACATGACAGAGGTCAGAGCCAAACAGGTCAAAGAGAACAACCCATTCCTCGGCATCGATTGTCTGAACAAAAACACCAATGGTAAGAAATACAAGTATCTTAGATGATTTACCTTTTTATTCCAACCTGATGGATTAGCACAATGGCGACACTGCATTTTAGTATCAAAGCAGAGTGACACTGAATCACTTTTTTTTTTCCCCTACAGACATGAAGCACCAACATGTAATCGAGACACTGATCGGCAAGAAGCAGCAGATCCTGCTGGCTACTCAGGTGGTAAAGATGATCCTCAAGATCGACGACATCCGAAGCCAGGGAGAGAGCGAGGATTAGAGTCCCCCCGAACATCTGAAGGCTCGGCTGTGCCCTGTAACGCATATTGATGCGTGTGCTGTTCTAGAGGTTTTAGGCACTTCCCCAGAGCACCATGTCCAAACCGCTCTGCGTACTGCTATTTATCATTTGATACAAAATGTTCAAGCTGTAATCGTATCAAAGTCACCATTAAAATGTTGGTCCATTGAAATGAAGACTCCACTGTTCTGATTTCAAGCCCCTCAAGGTAAAACTTTAATCATAGTTCTTAGGAACTAAAGATCCAGACCTCACCTGGATTAGAAAACATTTGGAAAATATCTGGAATGTCAAGACCCAAACAAATTACATTAACAATCAGCAGCTCACTCAAAATGGCACCTCCACGTTTTACATATCTACTTTTCAGTTTTTAATCCCATGAAAGCTGGTTAACAATGAGTAGAAATAGAATTCAAGGCACAAGTTGCTTCAGCGCCTCTGTTGCTTGAGTTCACTCAGTCCAATGTGAAGGTCCCCACCTTTCATCTACATGTACTTGTTGAGCCACTTGAGCATGTCTGATCTGGCCTCCTGGATGCTGGGTTTGTCTGAGGGGTTGATGTCCTCTCTCTTGCGGTGAACAAACCCATGAGTCTGACCAGGAAAGATCTTCACTCGATGATCCACTGTGCATTTCTCCTTCAGCTTGGATTCAAGGACTTCTACCTGAATAGCAAAAAAAAGATGTTGTTAATGGTCACACAAGTAGAAATTGTGGCCTTTTGAAGATAAGTCCAAATGTTTTACTAAATGTTATAGAGTCAGTCTGCTCTGGATGTTTTTGGGCCAATACCAATATTGGGGGGTAAAAAATTGCCAATGATACATAAGATGTTATCAAACACTTATGACAAAGAAATGTAATCAAGGCTTGATATTTTATTGTTTAACCACAAACGTTATAGTCAAAACAAAACACAACCAAATATGTAGAAATGGAATAATAAAGGAAAGTATTTTGGCAAACTTTGATGCCATAATGCATATGAAATCTCTTGCCATTGGGCTCGAGTATTTGAACATATTTAAATATTTTAACATATATGTCTGTTGCTGCTCTGATACAATTTGGTGCTGAAGTACCAGGACGAGACATTAGGCAGGTTAAAGTATAGAGTCTGTATAAAAGCTTAATGCGTACTCACCTGATCCAGTGGGATGACGATGTCTTTCTCTCCAAAAATGAACAGAGTGGGACACTTCAGCTCATATCTGTCCTCCCTCTCTCTGACGATCCCTGCACAGCATCACATAAGACCATCATAAAGCCACTCAACATGCTGCCTTCTCTTGCGTGAATTAGTCACCGTGTAGCAGTGACGCACCATAGACCGACACTCCAGCTCTGACCTCTGGGTACTGCAGGGCCAGGTAATGTGTGGCGATCCCTCCCCAGCAGAATCCCACCACTCCTATGTGTTTGGCCCCACACTGCTCCTTCAGGAACCTCAGCACTGCATCCACCTCTCTGGAAAGGACATATTATCACTCAGAAATCCTCATAGCACTGGACCATCAGATGTTTGATAAACTAAAACTAAGACAATGCATTAATGCTTAGTTACTTGTTTATGTTTGTTGGCTTCTTGTCTTCAAGCCACGCCTGAAATCCGGACCAGTCATGTGATGGATTCCACGGCTCCTTCCCAACAAAGAAGTCTGGACAAACAGCTCTGCCATGACAATAGAGGAGATCATATTCACAAAAGCTTAATAATGAACCTGCTCCTACAGACTACATGTGACCTGAGCTTCTCTCACTGTGCAGCTTTTCTTTTACATGAACTTTTACATACATGTATCCATTGGCAGCCAGCATGTCAGCCATGTATCTGGTGTTAGGGAGCTGCCATCCAAAGATGTCCTGTATGACTATGACTGCCTTGTCAGACGCAGTGTCTGGTTTGACCACATACGCTTGAATGTGATCAATCTGGAGCTCCTGGCCCAGACCTCCATATTCAATCCGGTCTCCTAGTTCACAGGGGCAGGGCCTGGCTTCGTTTGCCATCTGCACACAGACACGAGGAAGAAACTTGGATCTGATCTGGAAACACACTCAGTCAAAAGATTCCTCTGTGCAAACGGGTCACGATTACAAATTGCGTAACACAATGACAAAGCACTCTGTGACATCTTCCAGCAGTTTTAGCTTCAGACGGAATTTTAACATTCAATTTGCATTTTAAAATCTAAATATAGATCAGAAAACCTGGCCTACCGTACTGACAGTTTTATACGATAACCTTCTGGTTTGGTAGAACTGGAAAAGCTGCAGCCTGACGCTGGACGTCGCTGTTTATAAAGCTCCTGTCAAGAAGTGAATGAAAATCCAGATGTGACTTTCAAAATAAGTTTCAAATGTACACTTTTTCAGAGCAGCCTACTCAATGAGCAGTTGGATGGTGATCATCATCTTTTGCGAATATCTTGTTATAGCTGATAATATTCGTCATTAAAGCGTTTGTTTTGTTTTTACATATTTTTGTGGTTTTTTTGAAAGTCAAGTGATAAATATAAGGCAACTGTTTGGTTTGGCGTAATTTAAAAAATGTTTAATACAAAATGTATTGTCATTTAATCAATGGACAGAAATCAACGTAAGGTAAACCGGAAGTATAGATAAACCTTCATAATAAAAGTATGATATGTGAAGTTTACAGTCGGGAGAAAGAGGCACTTTGTGAATGAAGTGGTCGCCTGAGCAAACTCAGATAAAATCAAATAATATTGTAACTCTTACTCTTAATTGTGTGCATGTGTGTGTACTTGTTAATCATATTGTAACTCTTACTCCCAATTCCAAATGTATAATCATAGTAAAGACAACAATAATGATTAGCTGGGACCATCATTCATGGGCAAATAAACTAATAAACAACATTAAATGAGATGAGATATTGTCCTGGCAGTTCATTGGTCATAGGGAGGTGCTCAACAGTATAGTCTTCTGTGAGAACTTGTCAATCACCTGATCTTCTGTGTGTTTTAATAGTGATCTCCTCCTTCTGGCTCCTTCAGTCACAGACTAACACTTGGTTTTCATGCTGCTGTGACTCAGGACCAAACAAAACGGCCTCTGACGATCAGTATGTAATGGCAATAACACAGGTTTATGTATCAGCTTCCTCTCAAAAGGCACCGCTGGGATTCGAACCCAGGATCTCCTGTTTACTAGACAGGCGCTTTAACCAACTAAGCCACGGCGCCTCGGAAAATGTTATCACCCTGATGATTCACTGTCTCAACTTGTTTATAACAACTGTTTATATATAATATATGTTATATATGATATATTTAAACTATATTTTATTTTTCCCATAAGGACTAATTGCCTACAATGTCACCAACGCCGCTCTCAGTGCTTTTCTGACAACCCCCCTGCCCTGTGAACAACTTCATCAAGTATCTCCACGTTTAACAGTTGACCAGATACAATTAGTATTTAATAAATATGTGAAGATAGATCGTTCCTTCCTGCAGCAGTATTTCTGTACAACTCTGCTCCAGGTAGAAGTACACGCACCCATTATGGACTGAAACTTTAACCCTGGTTTAACTGTGCAATATTTACTGTGTCTGTGCAATACATTGGTTCATGTGCAATCCGTTCACTGTACATATATTTACACTGTATATATTAGTTTTTATTCCATTCATATTCTTTTATATTTCTTATATGTTCTTACACTTAAGTATTATTGTCCTTACACTTTATTATCCTTACACCAAAGTATTGCATGTTACTTATTATTAGATACTGATGCCTATTTTTGACTCTTGCAGCTGTAATATTGTAAATTTCACCGTTGTCTACTAATACAGGATTATTTTATCAATCTTATCTTTTAGTAACAAATAAAGAAGCACCTTGAAAAACTGTCAGAGGGGGAAAATACACCGCCTATCTATGTTGTTTTAACACAAACTATTGCAACAATGGCTATTTATGTAGAAAAATAAATACCTAAACCAAAAAAAGTCCCAGAAAATGGTGAATCAAACTTTTATTCCACATCAGCTCTTGTGTCAGGGTCGCAGGTGCAAGTCTCGTGTTACATAAAGAAGTTGTTGGGTCAGGTATCCTCCTGCAGGTGTCGCTGTTTGATATGAATGGACTTTTGTCCCCGACAGTAAACACAGTTTCTAGAAACATCAGAAAGGAAATCAAATCAGTTCCGCTCGTGTCGATGCTGATAAATGATTCGAATGTGTTTCAAAACCAGCCTCCGGTGGTTTAATATCCAAATCATCAGTGTGAATCTCGTCCTGTCCTCCATTGACCACATGATCATTGTTGTGGAAGTTTCCCTGCCGTAAAGCGTTAAAAAAAAACGGAACGCTGTTGCAAAGCCAAATTGTTGTGACAGCGGCTAGCAGTGACGTTAGCGCATGCGTTAGCGAGCTAGCAGTTTGTCTCCGGGTTTAAACTGTCATTGCAGCAACACGGAGGATGCACCGTCCCTCAGACTGGCCGCCCCACGTAATATAACAACACACCGAGAGGATCGAACCTGTGCGGCTGGCGGCCGAACACAAGACTGGATGTGAGAGGACACGACGAGGCGAGCCGCTAGTGGTCAGTCTGTGGGGGAAACCATTTTACGATTGTCAATGCCTCCGACACGTAAGGATACGCTCGTCTCGCTAGCTTAACGCAGCTAGCCGAACGATAACAGTCCGCGTCGTGGATGGGTTCGCTGATCGCGGTGCTCTGTGAAGAAACGGTGACCGGTGCTTAGCGAACATCATGGACACGGCCGAGGAAGGTAAGCGACCGGGGGGTGGGGAGTGTGTGCTGCAGTCGGCTCCCAGCTGGGGGGTTAGCTAGCATTAGCTTTGCGAGTGCATCCAAGAGAAGCAGCACAACTGCTGTGCTGGCCTGCTACAGGGGGAGTTAGCTTGATAGCATAGCATAGCCTGTCAATGTGGTGAGGGGTTCATCCTGGGAAACATGGGGGGGCTGTTTAGAAGCAGCATATTGTGAGACAGCAGATGTGTGGTAGAGAGACCCAGATGTTTTTGGTGATGTCATTCTTCTCATGCACAGGCTCATATATAAGCTCAGTAATCTAACTCTATACACCTAGCTTACCTCAGTGTTAAGCCTCTAAATTAAATTTCTGCATCCACAATCAACCTGCCTGCCATCACCCAACACCCCAGTCCCCACACCCTCTGCACCTGTCAGCACATCTGGTTTGTGTTTGCTTTTGGAGATGACTGTACTGACTCACATTCTGTGTTTGTTTGTTTGTGAAGCGGATATTTGTCGCGTGTGCCGCTCGGAGGGGACCCCAGACAAACCCCTGTACCACCCCTGTGTCTGCACTGGCAGTATTAAGTTCATCCACCAGGAATGGTAAGTGTGGTTTGGCTGTCTCCACCAGTTTGACAGCTGTTTGTTACTGTGACCCTGCAGCTACCCCTGATTCTCAAGATGCAAGATTCAACATATATCAACTGAGCTGATTGGAATTTGTCTTGGCACGCTCAACAAACATGGACAAGAAAAATCAAATCGCACTCTCAAAATACATCATAGTGTATGAAGCACATAAGTCAAGTCTGAGCCCTGAAGAGTATAGCATAATAAACCCTTAAATCAATTATCAAATAAATAAAAAAACAAAGTTAAAATCAATAAAACCTCAACATATTAAATGCTGATAATCTTGCAGAAGAAATACATCAGCTTTCGTGCCCTTATTAAAAAGTTACTGAGCGACCTGCAGTGCAAGATCTAGAGTGCCCAGGAGGCAGACAGCTCTTTCTCTCCATTGTTGCTCACTATTGACACTGATGTCAGTAATTTGCCTGAGGTGGGACACTGTGTACATATGTTGCTTTCATTACTTCAAACATCAAGTTTACATTTAAAACTGTCTCTGTGCTTTTGCAGAGACCTTCACTCCTACCTCCTCCACAAAGTGAACTGGGTGTATTTTCTAGTATTCCCATGCAGTTGTAATAAAGATAGACTGTATGGAACTGATTGTAAAAATGTCACTCAACTCTGTGTTGAATGCATATGCTGCAGTTGATTATTGCAAAAAAAAAAACACAGAATGATGCTTCCCATATTTCCAATATTAATTTTCCACAGTTGTTATTCTCAATGCACATGAGCACAACTTCTTTGAACGAATATTTAGTTTCTTCAAAAGAAATCTTTGTTAGCCACGTTATTTTAAATCCGGAAACGAAAAGCAGGATCGGTGTAATGTATGTTCCTATAATTAGATTGCTGATCAAAGAGGGTTATAATCAGATTACAACCGTACAGCATAGATACTGTCACTTGATTTGAAAATCCAACTTAATCTGGAAACAGGGATTTCCCTTTTTTGAAAGAAACTAGGTTTTGTTATGTGGAGGTGGTTGTTGAGAAATTGTATAACTTGGAGTACAGGCTGTCCTTTATCATAATTACAAAAGTGTTTGCATGGTAGTAAATGTAATATGAGCATCAGGAAAGGGATGCAGAGTAGGGTGGCCTCTATTACATTCAGGTTACATAGATCCCAGATTACTACTTTAGGTGTGGTATTAGACCAGTGAAAACAATACAAGCTCCTGCATGTACAATGGTGGCCGTGCTTTGTTCTCATGTGTCGTGTGTGTGTGAGCGTCAATTGTTACAAGAGACCGATGGCTGGAAATCTCTAGTCAGAAGCAAAGGTCAGGTCTGGATTGTTCTGAGGGAACTGTTTAACCTCACTCTGTGTCCATATTAGTTCACCCAAACAAAATTTAGAATAACAACCTTGTGTGTCTGGATTGTAGGGCTCATTGTACGGATTGTTAAATGTATCTATAATGCCACGGTCAGCACTGTATCAAGTTAGATGTGGACGGGACTCACTCGACATTCCTTAAAATAGTAGTCGGGCAAAATCACTACAGCCAAGTGTATCAAACAGTTTGACCGGATCCCATTTCAGTGTTTCATTGAGTCAAAGGACTCAATTTAATTAGATCTAGTCGCAGGTTACTTCTTAATCAATTATTCAATTACAGAGTTTTCACCAAGAACAAACTGGAAATCTATGTTGTACAACAACAATTCTTTGGGTAACTCAGGGACATTTGGGCTATTTAACAAATGACTGAATCGTTATTGTTACAGTATGTCTTGATTTTTTTTAGCTGCATTTATGACCAGTGTCCCACAGATATCTCAGTTCTTATGTCAGTTGATCAAGAGTCTGTGTAGGTCTAATGCAGCCATGTGTTTGAATCAGCTGATGCAATGACTTACTTAAATAACCCCACTTTTAATCCCTCGGTTTAGTTTATCTCACAAAAAGCCAGCATGGTATTTGTTTGGCCAACACATGTCAGCTCAGAAATATAAAGCGTGTAAATTGAATGAAACATAGATTGGCTTTCTGACACCTCCCTAACACAACTATAAACCAGAGTGTCATGTGTGTGGCTGTGTGAGAAACCGGTCTTCAGGCTCAGAGACTATATGTGAGGAAACATAAAAATGCCAAGTCAGACCGTTCACTTCTTCTCACTTTATTAATTTTGTTTTACAGTTTGGTCCAGTGGCTGAAGCATAGCAGGAAGGAGTACTGTGAATTGTGCAAGCATAGATTTGCTTTCACACCAAGTAAGTTTGTGGCATTGATGGATCATCCACTTTAATCATAAAAATAATGAAACGCTTCCAGCTTTATAAATGACTGTTTCAATTATTGAGAATCAGCGTTTTTGTTAAGACACCATTTTGAATAACTTCCAGTATTGTAAACAACATTATCGCACAGAGATTATTTCACTGTCTCTTGTTCACTTTGTCCCTGTTTCCTCTTCAGTCTACTCCCCAGACATGCCCTCACGTCTGCCCATACAGGACATTTGTGCAGGCCTGCTGACCAGCGTGGGTACAGCCATCCGCTACTGGTTCCATTACACACTGGTGGCCTTCGCATGGCTCGGGGTGGTTCCTCTCACTGCATGTAAGTAGTGCACACTCAGAGATGCGGAGATAAACAGATTATTGCTCGAGATAAACCCGTCCTCATAAATGGATACTTCACAGCAGTTTGCGATAATAGGTTTTGTTTGATTGCAGCTAATCAGTTGTTATGCCTTCATACCAGCCATGGCCAGTGGCAATAAACTTTTGGTTAGTCCGTCTATCTGTCCCACGATCATGAACACTATATCTCAGGAATTTACTCAAGGGAATTTCTTGTTAATTCGATGGTCAAAGGTCAAATTCACTGTGAACATTTAACCCAAGCATTCATAAAATAATTATGACAATATACACATAAAACCTTCAATTAATAATGGCTTAATATCTTTTTGGTAAGGTGGTATTTCACTTATTGGTTTTGAATCAAATACTCATGATGCTGTATGTTGATGCATTAAATGTAACATACCAAAGTTATTGATGACATCATCATGTCATAAACTTTTCATATGATCTCATGTTTGTGAAGATAATTATATAAGAAGCAACACTATTTGTAATCCAAGCTATTTAAACCCTATTTAAATTGTTATACATTGTCTATGTGTTTTTAGGGCTGTTTGAAACATTTAAAATGTGTTCTCCTCCATTCATTTATCTGGTGTCTACCTCAGGTCGCATCTACAAGTGTCTGTTTACCGGCTCTGTGAGCTCACTTTTGACACTGCCACTGGACATGCTCTCGACGTGAGTGATGACACTATTATTCTTCAGCACTTCACAATGAGGAGCATCATGTTGAATTTAATTTAAGCAACTGTGTTCTACACGGTTATTTTCTTCATGTCTCTTCATCAGTGTTGTTGTTTGTTTCTGCAGAGAGAACCTGCTTGCAGATTGTCTTCAGGGCTGTTTTGTCGTCACCTGCACCCTGTGTGCGTTCATCAGTCTGGTGTGGCTCAGAGAACAGATAGTCCATGGTGGCGCACCCCAGTGGTTAGAGCAGCACCATCCACCACCACCTAATGCTGCTGGACAAGCCAATGAGGTGCATTGTTTGACTGATTGCCAATGAGCCATTTGTCATAATTTAAAAAAGAACACCATATCCAATTATATCCCATAAATCTAAATCATCTTAATCACACAAAACACACACACAAAATCATCCATACTTTCATCTCCCCATATAAAATTCCTGTATCTTCATCCTCAGGCACAAGCTGCAGGTCAGGGAGCCCCAAATGAGCCCCCCGCAGCTCCGCCGGCCCCTGCTGATCCCCCAGCCCAGAATGAGGCAGAGCCTGAGCCCCCTGATGTCCCTCCAGACCAAGGCGATGACCCAGAGCTGGAGGAAGAAGAGGGAGCAGCTGCTGAAGATGCAGACCCGAACAATGGAGCACAAGGTTAGACAATGGAGCACAAGGTTAGACAGGCAGGGCTAGGGTATCACTGTCAGAGTTTCCATCTGAAGGCCTTTTGTCTGGCAGATTTAGTTAATTTTAGTAAATTTGAAGAGTCATCTGTATATAAACAACATTCATTTTAAGACTTTAAGAAAGTTTGAGAAGCATCTTTTTGCAGGGAAAAACCACAGGTATATGAAAATCTGTTTTAATGTGATAAACATTAGAATAAACAGTACAACTGCCAATCGAATGTACAACTATTTGTCACAATGGTCTCATTTTGTAACAATTTTCTATCAAAATTAATCTGACAATAATGAAACCATGTGTCAAAATTCTCCCCAGAGCTCTCATATCATCATTTGCTTGGTTTTACCATGGTTAATGGACTGTGTCACTGCAGCTAAATGAATACAATGGAAAAGTCTCACAATAGATGGTTTTGCACTTCAGAGCTCACCGAATTTCCCAGAGCGGCATAAATAACTGTAGCAGCATTTGTTAAATAACATGTTTCTGCCTTTGTTCTAAAAGCCAGCTCAAAAACATCAGACCAGACGAACACAATGAAGGTGACGAGCAGGAAGATATAGCTAGAAATCATTTAAGAGAGATATTGAATTACATTAGATCACTGATATGCTGTGAGATAAATACTATTCACGTGTCCATTTTAATAATTGTAATTTCTGTCCCTGCAGATGACATGAACTGGAACGCTTTGGAGTGGGACAGAGCAGCAGAGGAGCTAACCTGGGAAAGGGTAATTCTTCATATCTACATGTCGTGACTGATCAGCCTCATCAGCCCGAGTACACACAAAACAACAGTAACTTAACTATCTCTGTAAAACATCCTTGCAAACGCAACATTCCTTCAATTTCCCTTGTAGATGCTTGGACTGGATGGTTCACTGGTATTTTTGGTAAGTTTTTATATGCGTAGTTGTCACTTATGTTAACTTCACTTTTGTATGAGGAATTTGTAAAGTGTAAACTCTCACTTGATGTTTATGTCTTTGTCTTGTAGGAGCATGTGTTTTGGGTCGTGTCTCTCAACACACTCTTCATCCTAGTCTTTGGTGAGTAAACTGAAACAAGGCTGTTTGGTCCTGGTCCTTCTTGTTATACCAAAATCCCAGACTTAAACTAATTTTTTAATTCTGGCAATTATGTTCATGCCACTATGACAACTTTTTCTCTTTTTCTTCACTCAGCGTTTTGTCCCTACCACATCGGGCACTTCTCCGTTGTTGGTCTTGGCTTTGAGGAATATGTAAGAATAAACTTTCATCGATTAAACTTATAATGAAGGGTAATAATATATCAAATGAATTATACTTTCAATTTATTGTCTACTTTTACTTTTCCTCAGGTCCAAGCCTCTCATTTCGAGGGTTTAATCACAACAATTGTGGGCTACATACTGCTGGCCATGACGCTCATTCTCTGTCATGTATCCTTCCACCAAACTTGAATCCCCTATTCTCCACTGAAATGTAGAACCAAAGAGAATTCCATTGTTTGTAGGCATACAAAAAGTTACAGGGCCTGACATTGCACATTGAATTTATTTTTGTGTGCAGCTGTGTGCATGTGTGTGTACACTGGTGTTATCGATCCTTAATGGCTGTCTCAGGGACTGGCTGCTCTGGTCAGGTTCCAGCGCTCCCGGCGTCTCCTGGGAGTCTGCTACATCGTTGTCAAGGTAACCATGCCTTACCTGCGTTTTGTGTAGCTCAGTAAAAATACACAGAAGTACTCACTCACTGAGATTTACTACCTGAGCTAAACATTGAATTACATTTTATGTGCAATCACACTCACAGACTGAGGGATAGAAATAATTTATCACAGTGTGACTCAGCTAATATGTTTGCAGGATTAGGATGGCCTTGAGACATGTTTCTGTTTCCATTACAGGTTTCTCTGCTGGTTGTTGTGGAGATCGGTGTGTTTCCACTCATCTGTGGCTGGTGGCTTGACATCTGCTCTTTAGTAAGACTCAAAACTTGTGTTGTGGCAATGTGTTTTCATTGTTATTTAGGTTCCAGACTTAGTCCTGTATTTTGTAATGAGAAATTTAAATAGCATCCATAGCTACTAATAGCCTGATACAGTTCCTCCTCCAGAGACATTGAAAGCATCATTTTCTAAGTTTGTCTCTGCTTATGTAAATTCAGTGGATGCTGCGTCTGTGTTGATTTACTAAAGTGAGAGTAGCGATGTCTACCCTGTGTAGTGATCTGTCAGAGAACTTAGAAAAAGTAGCTTTTGACAAGGTTGCATTGCTGCTCTCACTGTCCTTGTCTGAGAAGCCGATTTCAAACATGAACTCCAGAAAATATCCGCAAAAAACTGGGTCTGGACATTTTCTGGAGTTTGTCTTTCACATTTGAAGAACACAGCAAGAGAAAATAGTCAGAGTGACCTCTTGACATTTTCCAGAAGTTTTTCTAGAGAGCTGGCTGGAAAATTTCAGGAAAATGTTTGGACTTGAGTTCATGTCTGAAAGCAACCTAAGTCTGAATTGATATGCACTTTTTGATGCTTCCTGGCAAAATCTCAAAAACACCAAGTCCTTCTCCGCCCACAGTCGCCACATGAGCTCGTCCCCAGTGCTGCTCGATGTAAATCAGTCCATGTGTTTTCCTAAACTTGTCCTAAGCCTTTCAACCTACCTCAGAACAGATGGAGCCACTTTCAGAGCAGACTGCAACCACATCCGTCCTGGTCTGCAGCTGTGAACCTGTGAAAAGAATAAAATGGGCTGAAAATGGACTGAATAAGCAATTTTTATCATTTCAATTTGTCCCACAAATTCAAAGGAACCTCTGATGCTGACAAGTGGAAAATGAGACAAACGTCTTCCTGCGTGTACTGTCAGAAAATGATCGTGTTTTTATTTTCCTAATTTAAATCTTTTGTAACATCAAGTCAACTGTGCATTCATCGGGCAAACACAAGTAATTAGAGAGCATCGTCCTCGTTGCAATGCTGAATTTGAATCTATGCTTTCTGTAATTAACATTTATTTTCTGCCTCCTGCAGGAGATGTTTGATGCCTCACTGAAAGACAGAGAGTTGAGTTTTAAATCAGCCCCTGGCACCACCATGTTTCTGCACTGGCTTGTGGGAATGGTCTATGTCTTCTACTTTGCTTCTTTCATCCTCCTACTGAGAGAGGTAAATGACGAAATGTTTGATCACATTTCATTTTTTTCTGTTGATACTTGAAAATCAGAATATGAAATGAAAATTGTTTTGTTGTTAAACTTGTTGTTTGTTCATCAGGTGCTGAGGCCCGGAGTGCTGTGGTTTCTGAGAAACCTCAATGACCCTGATTTTAACCCAGTGCAGGAGATGATTCATCTGCCCATCTACCGACACCTGCGGCGGTTCATCCTGTCCGTGGTGGTGTTTGGTTCGATCGTGCTGCTCATGCTGTGGCTGCCCATCAGGCTTATTAAATTGTTGCTGCCCACCTTCCTGCCATACAATGTCATGCTCTACAGGTAACCTCAAGCATAACAAAATTATGGGTCACTTGGCAATAATCTTTGTAAAAGCTACTGCTCTGTCTTTTCGAAATGGGGTTTGGAACCAGGTCGAACGGCCAATACATCTCACTGCAGTTCATCTTACATCGGGCTAAAAATAAAATGTTGTCTGCATGAATAAACTACACTTGTAGTGAATTACCTTTTTGAGCGTTGGCTGCATAAAAACTCAACAAAACAGTTTCCTATGCAGGCTGATTTTTACCATATGGTACACACCTGGGTCCACACACTGTTCAAATGTTTGTCTGACTCTGTTCACCTGTTTCCTCTCAGCGATGCCCCGGTCAGCGAGCTGTCTCTGGAGCTGTTATTACTTCAGGTTGTGCTGCCGGCATTACTGGAGCAGGGACACACTCGGCAGTGGCTCAAAGGCCTGGTCAGAGCCTGGACAGTCAGTGCTGGGTATTTATTGTAAGTCAAGTATAAATACACTGTAACGTATCTGAATATTTTTCTTGTTGGCTGTGTGTAACAGACTCTGTGCTTTTGCAGAGACCTTCACTCCTATCTCCTCGGGGAGCAGGAAGACAATGATGCCAACCAGCCTGTGAACAACAACAACAATAATAATCCTCCCCCCGGTCACCATAACAACAATAACAACCCTGCCCCAGCTGTTGGTGAAGGCCTACACGCGGCCCATCAGGCCATCCTGCAACAAGGGGGACCAGTAGGTTTCCAGCCCTACCACCGACCGCTTCGCTTCCCATTCAGGGTGAGACATTGATCATTTACTGCTGCAGTTTCTGGAGCAGGCTCTGGGGACTTTGATGTTGTGTTACCGTTTTAAGCACTTCTGCACTGATATCCACAAAGAAAAGAAAGTATTGCTTAGTTACTGTTTTTACAGTCTTTCTCACATATTTAGACTACATTTCTTATATAAATTGCTAGACTGCTAATATCTAAATCTAAGTAATTTGTGACAAATTATAAACTGAAGAAAATATCTACAGCTCAATATATATATATATATATATATATATATATATATATATATATATATATTGATTACATATTGAGATTTCTCCAGGGTCCTCTGATGGCCAGTACGACTTTAACAGACGGGTGTGTTGTCTCTGTTTTTATTAGAGAGAGAGTGGGACAAGTAGAGACAGAGCAAATCAGTGTACTTAGATGATATAGAAAAGAAGAGAAGAAAATCAATATATGCTGGTTAGTGTTGATATTGTGGCAGGCCGCCACCAATAAATAAATGCACTGAGAGGTGTAAATCAGTGGCAGGCCACAAGAATCAATGTAATTAATTCATTGTCTCAGAGGCATGCAGCCAACATTTGGACCTTTGGTTACGAGACGCTGGTCACAAAGTGTACTTCACCAGGTCTTTCTCTTGTGTGACATTGAAGAAGCTATAAAAAGGAGATTCTGTTGCATGGTTTACTTTGGCTGCTGGGATTAGGCAACACCCTCTTAATTTATAGGTACTGCAGCACTCCAGGGTATGCTGTCGGGCAGCCAGGATTCAAAAAAAGTTAACTGTTAATGTGCATAACTTACATTGATTTTGTGATTTAGAGAATGAAACCGAAAGAGTAGGTTTTTCTTCGATAGCCTGGTTTTGGTTTTGAGAACTACCAGTAGAGCTATTTGTAATTTGTGGTTTCCTGCACAAATGTAGACATGCACCAACGCCCTCAACTCTGTTATTCTACAGCTCGTTTTGAAGTTGAAGGCCTTGATCTCCATTTTATACTTTATACCAACATATTCCGGCTAGATAGGATTAAAAGTTTCATGACTGCTTCTCGTTCACTTACAATGTTTTTTTTCTTTTTTTCTGCAGATTGTGTTGCTGATCGCGTTCATGTGCATCACTCTGCTGGTGGCCAGTCTGGTGTGTCTGACTCTACCAGGTGAGATGTGTTTTCATTCTGCAGACCAACACCACAGCAGTAATTGTAGGGTGTATCAATAGCCGCTTTTATACAAAGCTCCTGCTGTAGATAGCACACTGTCATTCCAGAAATAGAGCTGTGACGTGGACTTCAACAGCGTCAGGGGTCTGTCCTGCCACACTCACTCCGCCTTCTGCACAGTTGTCAATCACGTCCTGTGACTCCCCCCGCTGCTGGGTTAAAGGCAGAACAACAATGCCCCCCCCCCCCAAAAAAAAAATCTGCAGAACCCCAAAAGTGTTTACGTCTATGCAGTTTAAGCAACTCTATTTTAAGCTCAAATAGTTATCTTTATTTAGACTTGAGAATTTGTCCTGTGTGTTTCAGTCTTCACCGGGCGCTGGCTGATGTCCTTCTGGACAGGAAACTCCAAAATCCACGAGCTGTACACAGCGGCATGTGGCCTGTACGTCTGCTGGCTGTCTATCCGCGGAGTCACTGTGCTGTTGGCCTGGATGCCCCAGGGACGCACGGTCATCTTCCGCAAAGTGCAGGAGTGGACTCTAATGGCAAGTATCAGTGATCAGCCTCTGTTGTTGGCAAACACCAAAGCTGGGCAGTGGATTTGTGCTGTGATTGGTTTCGCTCCATCTGGAAATTATCTAGAGCCGCAATGTTTTTGTGAAGTGGTTGGTTTCTAATCAAGCTTATTAGTCAACATGTAAACTTTGCCAGCATCTGCCTATTAGTAATATCCTCACGTCTTTACCTCGGCCAGTGCTGCAGTAGTTTTGCCCCACGAAGGCTGACAACTTTAACTCTCATATTTAATGTCATAATCTGATTGAAGTTACATTAATATCTACTTTAGTTTACATCCTCTCTTTGGTTTTACAGATTCTAAAGACCCTAGTTGTTGCTCTGCTGGTTGCTGGAGTCATCCCACTGCTACTGGGTCTGCTGTTTGAATTAGTTATTGTGGCTCCTCTCAGGGTTCCCCTGGACCAAACACCTCTCTTCTACCCCTGGCAGGTATGATTGTGTCTCTGTTGTATGAGTGTATCTGTCTTTTTCCATCCCTCTTTTCCCTTCTCCATATGAAAGACTTTCTTTTATTCCCAGACTTATTTCTATATTCATCCATTGATCTTTGTTATCTTCAGGACTGGGCTCTCGGAGTGCTTCATGCCAAAATCATCGCTGCCATCACTCTTATGGGCCCTCAGTGGTGGCTGAAAACCGTTATTGAGCAGGTGGGTTTTAGTATTAACTCTCAAATCTTACAAATTATTTAAAGATGCAATTTCTGCATCTTGCAATCAACAAATATTCATCACTTTGCCTTTAAGAGTTTCTAAGATTTCAGTCTCTTGTCTCGATTTGGAAACTAATTCTCGAATAAAATCTTGACACTGCAGTTGTTTAACAACAGAGGATGCTACCATGTTCATTCGTTCTGTTTTGCAGCTCACTTGGTTTTCTCCTGTATTTGCATTAAAAGACAGTAACTCCTCATTGCAGGTCAATTAAATTGTAATTCGTTCTACAACAAATCCAAACTTTCTCTCTTAGGTTTACGCAAATGGGATTCGCAACATTGATCTCCAATTTATAATCCGTAAACTGGCTGCTCCAGTCATCTCAGTCCTGCTGCTGTCCTTGTGTGTACCGTATGTGATTGCTTCTGGAGTCGTCCCGGCTGTTGGTGAGTGTATTTTTGGATTCACAGGAAATGTATTTGTTTGAATCTGTCATTTTCCCTGTTGGTTTAGTAATCACACCTATGAAATTATCCAAAACAGGAGCAGCACACTTAACCACACCAGTAAATTTACTTTCCAATCTATGAGTTTCTTTTAAAGATTCATAATGTCCACAAACTATCACATTACAGAGGTGTTTCCAAAAATATTGCACTTCTTCTTATCTCAGATGACTGTTGCAGTGACTACATTGTCATTAAATGGGAGGTTCAATGAAACAATATATAACTGTAGTGGATTGCTGTTGCAGGAGTGACCCCAGAGATGGAGATTCTAATGCAGAGGAGGATCTATCCATTCCTCCTGATGGTGGTCTCGCTCATCGGCATCCTGTCCTTCCAGATCCGACAGTTTAAACGCCTTTACGAACACATCAAGAACGACAAGTAAGGACGATTTTGTTTTTCAGCAACGACACTTGCAACATTTAGGATGTTAATTGTAGAGCAACTTTCCAGTTTTAGTTTTGTAAGTAAAAAATATCCGGTCCAAACTTGTATTGTGCCAGTTGGAATAAAGGTTCATGGTTAAACTTTCTGAGTATATATCATGAGCTTTTTTAAAGAAGAAGTGTTAGTTCAGTGCTGGAAAGTCTGAAAACAGAAGGAATCATTGTGTTAATGTTGTGATAATTTGTCTTTACAGGTATTTGGTCGGCCAGAGGCTCGTCAACTACGAGCGCAAAGCCGGAAGAGCGAGCTCGAGCCCCCCCTCCAACCCTGTCGCAGAGTAGATTCTTGTTTCACACGTGGCCACTTTTTTTTTTTGCACCAGTTAAGTTGTGTACACCCCTTTGATTTTCGACCACCGTAATCCTTTGGAATCTCCTGTGGATGTTGGTGGATTTGATGGATGTCGTTCAATTTTTTGAATTCCCTTTCGCGCCCCCATCAAAAGGTGGGACGGGAGGAGATTGTGTTATAATCATGGGACAGCTGAGTAACCCCCTCCCCCCTCTGATTGACGGAGTAGGCAGGAGGGTGAGGGTAACAGGGTTTGATTTGAAGCCTGTTGTTTTTCATGCTTTGCTTTGTAAAGTGCTGCCTGATAATTGTACATGTGTAAATACTTTGAACGCAGACTTTGTCTTACCAAAAAAAAAAAAAAGACGGATATGGATTAATGCAATGACCATTGTACATCTTAAAAGTGTATGTATAATTTATTAAATCAAACTGACAATTTATCCTTTTGTTGCATTTGTTGTCAACACGATCTGGTTTTTGTTTAACAGGCAGGAGGAAGTGGGACAGTACAAAGGTGAGTTTTAGACTAGAGCCACATGCCATTTTAAAATCGCTTATGTATGATGTGTCAACAAAACACTGATTGCAGTTATCTCAATAACTACACAGAGATTTTTTTCCATAATTCCCTCTGGCAAGAAGGATTTATTTTCACCCCTCTACATTTGTATGGTCCATTACATTTTGGCATGGGTGCAGACAAAGGGGTGGATCCAGGAAGTTTGGATCACTTTCCTCTGATTTCCCAGTGAATCATTGATGGGGCTCGATGGAGCCTATTTAAGAGACTGATCTATAGGCATGTGGATCCATGTAAAAATCTGGTTTATGATTTATCTAAAATCTGTTTGAAGATACATAGATTGCCCATATGATCAATACATGACTGGGGGTGGTGTTACTGCCTCGTCCTTAGGTATGAGTGGTGAATCTAGCACAATTCCAAATTCCTCTGCTAAAACAACAGTAATCTCCTCATCTTGAAGTTCTCTGGTGGTGGTGTCCAACACCCCCCCTGTTCCCTCAGAGGGGAATGTGGTGGAGATGAGTCTGCGGCCGATGTAGGTGAGCGTTCCACCTGGTTTTAAAATGTTGCAGAGGGATTTGCAGAAGAAGATGGAGCAGGGGGAGCTCTGGTGGTACTGGCACATGTCAGTGAAGTCCTCCAGGCGCCTGGGATCGAGGGTGAACTTGTAGATATCCTTCCAGTCTCCATCCGCACCCCTGTTCTCCTTTCCTTGCCATTCAAGAAAGTGCATATCCCCTTCCTTTCGGATGCGGTACACTCTGTGGCCCTCCGACTGGGGCCCGTTGGTCTCCAGAGAAAGCGGCACAGAGAAGCCTGGCAAGCCGAAGCCGACGTCGCACAGCCAGCGGTGTCCACGGAGGGTCACCATGAGGACGAGGTGGTTAAACGGTGGCCCGTAGCGTCCGGTGCTCGTGCACTTCACCTGGCCGGAGAGCGTGGTCACCTGGAAGCCCAGTGAGGACAGCAGCCAGGAGAAGAGGCCGTTGTTCTCGCAGCAGAAGCCGCCTCGGCGCCGGGTTACGATCTTGTCGTAGATCAGCGGGAGCTGGAGCTGGATTCTTCCGCCGCTGTGAATCGTCAGGTTCTCGAACGGCACCGACAGCAAGTGGCGAGCGTGGATCGACCGCAGCGCGTCCAGGTCGGGCTCAGCCGGGACCGTGGACCCGATCCGCTTCAAATATTTCTGCACATCCATGTCCACGGAGTTGCTGCGTGTTCTGGATCAGACCGACTTCGCTTTAACTATCAACAACAACACGATGATTCAAACCTCGTGTGCATGGACTTAGCTCATTAGAGTTTGCGTTGCTGGTTCTTGTGGTTTCATTACTTCCTTACGCACCGCCCAGATGTGGAAGAGCTCACATCTGGGCGGCGATTGGTCAAGATACAATGATTCTTACATAAGATTTGTATATACAGTCTATGATTCTTACCAGTGAAAGTTTGGAAATAAACTTTTTTATGAGCAGTTTTTTGTCAGAACTTTATTGATCAGAATCAATTCCCATTTTCTCATGACAAGTCATGTAACAAGTCCATCTGTTAAAATCAAACCATGAATTATGATATAGATCTTATTTTTACACAAATATGTTAATACACTACACTCAAGAGTTTTGTTAAATCATGGGCCATAAAGCGACCACAGTTTACACAAGTCATTAATTCAGCTCTAAGTATCATTGAGTATATCTTTAACTATCTGGTTTGTTCCTCGTTTAAACACAATATGTGTTTGATTTTCTATGCACATTTTCTGCAATTTTTTAAAATTTTTAATTCCTCTGTATATATTTGAATCCTACGCAAATGTTTAATTTCTCTGTAAAAGTTTAATTTTGCTTCAGTTGTTTAATTTAATTGAATTTCCTTAATTCCTCTGTACACATCTCAATTTACATTCATCTCAGGCCAAGTTCTACGTATGGTTACTGTGTTATAAGTTAACTCCAATGTATAAGTCAAGTCGAATGTATGTTACTGCCACTGGATGCTTGAATTTCCTTCGGAATCAATAAAGTATCTATCTATCCATCTATCTATCCATCTATCTATCTATCTATCTATCCATCCATCTATCCATCTATCTATCTATCTATCCATCTATCCATCCATCCATCTATCCATCCATCTATCCATCTATCTATCTATCTATCTATCTATCTATCTATCCATCTATCCATCTATCCATCTATCCATCCATCTGTCTGAAATGAATTGATCGCTCTCGTCATCCACCTCCTCCCCTGTGAGCGCTGAAGTGACGTCACAGCGCGACACTCCCTTGCCCCAGCAGAGGGAGAAAGATGGCGCCCACACACGTACTGAGATGCTGTCAGCGGGGCTTAGCGTGGATCCCGGTGATTTTCATCGCTCTGGTGGTCTGCTGGTCGTACTATGCCTACGTGGTGGAGCTGTGTATATGTGAGTAGCCTCCCCCGGCTCTTCGTTTTAAAGCCGCCGGTGTTTTCCTTGTGATTAGTCTTCCTCCTGCGCTAACATGCAGCAGCCGCTGTCCGGCAGGAAGTAAACGGACTGCAGCTCAACAATGGCTCCGTCAAAAAAAAAAGAAAAACCACATCCAGCTACTTCTCAGCGAGCTGCCGGTGAACCGGGCTTCGTGGAGAATTCAGTGTCAGACAGAGGGAAAGTTTAGAGGTTTATCTCGCTGCCTGTCTGGTGTCTGTGGGTTTTATTGTGTCGAGCTGCCACACACACATACAGACACACACACACACACACACACACACACAGACACACACACTCACACACAGACACACACACACACACATCAACACTTTTCCTCCAACTAGACTTCCGTCGATCAGGCAGGTCACACGATGGCCAGGCAGTTTGGTTATTCTGGTTTCTAACAGCAAACACTCATTGTTTTTTGTTTTCCAACCGTCGATCAGTTCATTAGATAAACACAGAGGTGACACACAAAAGGTGACTAGTGACTGAATGGCTGGAGAAACACGTTGAATGCAGATGTTTCATTTCACACTGTATTTCTATGAATCAAAAGCAAGACCACCCATTACAATAAGAGTAGACCGATCTGTAAAATGATTTGATGTTTGTCAAGTGTTTGTCATTTTCTGGCCTTAAAGAAGCGTTTCAAACCACAACCTTCACTCAGGAGCAAGAATCAATCTTTAAACTTCAAATAAATAATGTGACATTTATCGATATGAAAATACTAATCTCATATCACCCAGCCCTATAGTGCAAACACGCAGTTAACACCCAATCCCGCTCTATGACATGTTAACATACAGAGTGAACCCGGTTTATTCAGATTTTGCATCTAGATAAAAAGAGGAAAAGGTTGAAGTGACTTTTAAAAGCAGCGTCATTGTTGTCAGGAGCTTCGATCACAAAGGCTCAGCTGACGAGTCTTTCAACTGGAACAGCGACCGGTGTCACATCTGCATTTACATCTCTGGGAGAGAGAGAGAGAGAGATCAGATCAGATCAGAAGTACTTTATTAATCCCTGTAGGGAAATTTAAACGTTGCAGAGCCCCTGAGAAAGAGGCGAAAGAGCAAAAGCAGGTATAAACATAGCAATATAAAAATCAAGTAAGGCTAAAAAGAAAAAAGGTATACATATGTAGAAATAAAGACCGGGTATGTATAGATTTACATTTGTGCATGAGTGTAAGTTAAAGTTAAAGTATACACAGTATGCATTATTAATCTTTATAATTTACAGGTTGTCATTATACAATTTGACAGCCACAGGCAGGAATGATTTCCTGTGGCATTCTGTCGAGCAGCGTGGGTGGGTGAGACATGTAAATTGTGGTCGAGAGCACATTTGATGACATGACAAACACAAGAGCAACCTTTCCTTCTCATTTTTTTCCTTCAAAAAACATACTGTGTATATATTTTTATATTTATATTGTTAAATTTTAATACTTGATTTTTTTTTTAAATCTTGTAATATTTAGAGATGTCTGACATGCACCAACAACATCAAAACAAATTCCATGTATGTGCAAACTTACTTGGCAATAAAAGCTATTCTGATTCAGGGGATGTCGATGCGGAAGTGGTTTTCAAACCGACACTTTCCACCAGCATCGTGAAAACATCTTATCTTTTTGAATAACTGTTTCCATCCGTTCAAAGAAGTTGTTCTGAGTGACACAAGGGGGCAAACACCTTATTTTGGTTTTCATTTATTTTGTCATCTGTTTGTATTTGATCAGATTTGTGAATTGAGATTATAAGTCTAAGAAACCAACCTGAGAAAATCCCCTTTTTGTGTTTATGACCCTGAAAATGAAGCAATATCTATGTGAGTCACTGTTACAGATTGAATGGCTTCAGTTTGTATTGAGTGATTTACGCGGGGAAAATGCAGAGATTTCATAAAAGTTCTTAAATTTCATTCATGACCCTGGAATCAGTAGTTTACAAAGCAATGTTACAACAAAGTCTCCTCCTCTTCAGCAGTAATACAATTGTCCTGCAACTGTATTTCTGAAATATGAATGAGAGTTCACTCTCAGCTTCTGAAAAAGCAGTTGACGAAACAGTTTCCTCACAAGGTAAGAAGCTTTTAAAGGTTCGGAAAAATATATTTGAGTGAGTAAGCTCAGTCTGCAGAGATTGTTGTGAAAGATGGTGTCAGAGGTGGTGAGAGAGCTTTTCAATTCAAGTGAAGTTGTTAAATATGAGAACTTTCTTTTGTCACAAAAAATAGTTTGGAACAAACTGCAACTCTTTAATCATGTTGGACCCATTAAATGAATCCTGGGCTCATTCTTGATCCCAATCCTAGCGTGGGAAACACTGGTCGGATATAGTTTCCATCTAAGGCACAGATTTATAACTTTGTAACTTTATAAAACACAAGATGTTGATGAACAATTCTCTGTTCCCCCTGTGAAGTTCTGATGTTGGAATCTTTTTTTAAAAAATGTCTAATGTTTATTTTCTTTCTGTTCTATCTCTTTCAGTCACCATCCCAAATTTAGGAGAGCTGAGTAAGTGTCCTGAGAAAAACTGAATTACTGAACTGACTCTGTTTACAACTTAATGGAATCATCTGTTTGGTCCGGACCCTGGAGAAATATACTTAGTAGATTGAGTTAAAGGCTAAAAATGAGGAAGTGTGGTCGACTCTGAGCCGAGCTGCTTCTTCTCAATTACTTATTTGTTAAATATGTTGATTTACAGTGGTTCTTTTTTTAGTCCATGCAAAAGCTGTGTACACATTAGATTGTGTATGTTGTTGATCCTGATGCTCTGTTTTTCCCTCCAGTTGTCTACCTGATCTTCTTCCACCTCTTTTTCATCATGTTTGTGTGGTCTTACTGGAAGACCATCTTCACCAAGCCTGCCAACCCTTCCAAAGAGGTAGGCTACAACAATCCCATTTTCCATATGGAGACCTCTGTGTCTGTAGAGCTGTTTTCAGACATGAACTTTGGGAAAATGTCTGAAAAATTGGGAATCCGGAGTTTGTGTATGAGCGTTTCTGCCACGTGTTATGAAACGTCATCAATAGACCCACTTGCTTGATGTCAACTTTCCAGACATTTTGTTCGGGGACTGGCAGGAAAAGTTCTGTAAAATGTCCGTAGCCACTGACTCCAACATTTACGATCTCACGTACAGCCCATCTGGAAAATTCTCCGGAAAGTCTGCAGATTTCAGTCAGTGTCTGAAAGCAGCTTATATCTACAACCCTGCCATAAAGTCAACATGATGAATGTATTTTTTGGAACAAAATTGAATATGCTGCTCTTGTCTCTCCAGTTCTGCCTGCCCAAGGCTGAGAAGGAGCGCTACGAGAAGGAAGAAAGGCCAGAGTCCCAGCAGGAGATCCTCTGGAGAGCTGCCACCAGTCTACCTCTGTACACCCGCACAGGAGCCGGAGGTACGTCTGTGTTTGCAGCCATGTATGAGACACATTTGTCTGTTTATCTGAGCTTATTGTCTTGTATTAATAACATGTTGTTGTTGAGCAGCAATCCGTTACTGTGACCGCTGTCAAGTTATCAAGCCGGACCGATGTCATCACTGCTCGGCATGTGACATGTAAGAAAACCATGTTTACTGAATACAAGCGGTTGATATTCTTCTCTTCCTCTTCCCTCACCCCTACAAATCATTTTTTCAATGTCTCCTCTTTTACTTTGTCTGGCAGGTGCGTGCTGAAAATGGACCACCATTGTCCCTGGTATGTGTTCATGGTTTTCAGTTCCCTTATGCAGGTTTAATATAGAGATGATCCAGAACTTACTCTTATCCCAATTCTTTTCACTTATTCATTAAAGGTTTGAAAGATAGTGTTGCAAATACTGGAATGTGATTGGTTTTGACACTATATTAGAATAAAGTTGAATATTACATGTTGCCAAAAAGATCTGCTGAAAATTGTGCTCTGGATTGTTTGTAATCATAGAGGCTCATTAAATATTAACCAACAAAAGAACACTGCAGCGTCGCCTGTGGCACCTTATGTAAAGTTCAGATTGATAAGGTTTTTTTCTTGGAGAGGGTGACGTCTGACTTTCGGTGTGTGTTTCTCTGCAGGGTGAACAACTGCGTGGGATTCTCCAACTACAAGTTCTTTATCCTCTTCCTGGCCTACTCGCTGGTGTACTGTTTGTTCATTGCAGCCACCGTGCTTCAATATTTCATAAAGTTCTGGACGGTGAGTTGCAGTGCGCAGAAGGAAAGTGTTGTTGTTTTTGTTGAGAGAAGATTTGATTTAATTCTCCCCTTCCCGAGACTCATACCTGGACTTTGTGTATCGGCCAACAACAAGTACCGATCCGATGCCAGTGCATTCAAAAAAATACCAGCATGTATGACATATTTTAACAGTTGTATGCTACTTATCCTGTTGCATACAACAGGAAACTTATTTACTTTAAAGACGGTTTTGGATTGGTACATATCCGCATACTTGCCGATGCCCGACCCGGCATTTTCGCCAGATATCTGAGGAATTTCCGATTCCGGTATCGCAGCATCTCTTGTGATGTTGGAGAGGATGCAGATGTGGCTGCGTGTGAAATCCAGGTCGAGCATCCTTCTCAGTTGGTTGTGCATGGTGCTGACCTCTCCTGTGCTGAGCTGTGCTGCTCCTCTGTTTTGTCTGTCCTCTCTTGCCCTTCACTCTCTGACCCCTCTCTGTTGTCCCTGTTCTCGGACACTGGGTCATTGTCCAGGATTTCTTGTCTTCTCTGTCTGCCTCTCATCGTTCAGAACCATCAGTCACACCACTCATGCAGCCACAAAGAGACGGCCCTCCTGTTCTTTTTTTCCTCTTCTCACTTTTGTAGCTGTTCCACTTCACTTTCCTCTCATCTTTACCTCTTTCATCCCCTTGTTTCCTCTATTCTGGTCACACTTTGTCACTCACCCACTCACATTCCCCCCCCCCCCGTCGCCATACTTGGCTTTGACTTGTGTTCGTCTCCTGATTTTTAAGTGTTTCCTCTCGTCTCCCCTCCTGCCTTTTCTCTCCTGGTGTTGCTAACTAGTCTCGTTTCTGTTTGTACTAAAGCTGTGCCGGAGGAAATCGGCAGAGAACTGCCCAAAGGTAACCCAGTCATCCTCCAAAGACTTGAGCGTTTCAGTGCCTCTCCATCGTTTCCTTGGGTATTGTCGTGATATGCATGCAGTGACATGGTTCATGTTCTTATTCCTTTGCCCTTTTTTTTTTCTCTACATAGTCTTTCTTTTAATATCCTGTGTAGGAATTTGTTATTGATGACTCTCCTCTTCTTCTGTCTCTTCCCCAGAATGAGCTGCCAGACACTCACGCCAAATTCCATGTCTTGTTTCTTTTTTTTGTGGCGGCCATGTTCTGCATCAGTATTCTGTCCCTCTTCAGCTACCACCTGTGGCTTGTAGGCAAGAACAGGTCCACTATAGGTAACACACACACACACACACACACACACACACACTCGACAGGTTTCTCTGCTATTAAACACGCTCTACATCTACATATGCATCTAACATCAACACAGAATGTCACACAATTTGTTAAAAAAGTCAGTCTCTCTCCTTTCTCATTAGGCTTATATTATAATAATAATCTTTATTTCTAAAGCACCTACTTAAACAAGGTTAAAAAGTGATTTCATAATATATTAGAATAAAACAAGACAAAAATAAGAACGATATTAGATTAAATGTAAATATTAAAAATAAACATCCTTTAAAACAGTTAAAAACCAGGCGTTAAAAGACTAAAAATATATTTGAAGCAATGAGTTAAAAACAAGTGCTGGCGAGTCTAATGGTGTGTTTGTATATTCTCTCCATTCTTGTCTCCAGAGGCCTTTAGAGCACCAGTCTTTAGGACAGGCTCTGACAAGAACGGCTTCTCTCTGGGTTTCCGTAAGAACATCGCTCAGGTCTTTGGAGACCAGAAGAAATACTGGCTGCTTCCCATCTTCACCAGGTGAATTAACCAGAAATGAACATGCTGTTAGCAGGACTAAATATATATAGATATACTTCTCTTCCCCTCATAGCACTAATTGCAGCTGCATGACTCAGATTTATGTTTGTGCTGGAGAGTTATAAACAGTGGACCTCTTCCTTTAAACTATCAGATTACCTTTGTTGCAAATCTCACCTGATGCAGTTAGTCGCCCTGCAGGTCAACTGCACCTAATCTTGAGCTTCCCTTCTTTAATTACTGCAGCCAGGGAGACGGTCTGACGTTCCCTACACGGCTGGTCAGTGCTGATGCAGAGCAGGCAACAGTGACCCTTCATCCGGAGCCCAATAAAAGGTGAGCAGTATATTGTTATACATATATATATATATATATATATATATATATACACACGAAGTTCTGCAAAGGATTTATGTTTGGGACGGGTTTGTACACACTATGATAATAAATAAACTATATTTATACAGCAGTTTTTAAAAACAGAGTTTACAAAGGGCTCTGACAGCAAAGCAAGAAAGGAAATAGAAAAATAGGAGGATGTGACAAGGAGGCCAGACCACTATGTTTCGGTGGTCGGAAACAAGGTAGTGTTCAAATTAAATGAATAAATATGCAGCTATGACACTTGAAAACCTGAACACATAAAAGCAATAATATGACAATAAAAAGTAAAAGAAAAGTAGAAAAGAAAATACAACATCCCATCAAAGCAACTCCATAAAAATGGGTTTTAAGAAGAGATTCAAAAACAGTAAAATCCTAAAATCAATTCTAAAATGGACAGGGAGTAAATATGAATTCTTTTTAACTTTGTTGGGCATGTTTCCAGTGCTGCGGACGTCCCTGTGAGCCCTCTCATCGACTCACAGAATCGCCTCCTGAGCAACGACCAGCATGCCAACAACATCGCAGACCATCTGGCTAACAACACCCTCAAATCAGGTGAGCCTCACCAGGGACGGGAATATTTTGCAGACAGAATTAACTAACTTCCTTTGGCTTATCACATTTTCTGTCTGCCTTCATAGATGATAGTGAAACCATTACAATCTCCATGGAAAGCGAGTCCTAACCAGGTAAACCTGAATCCCTGGAGTTCGTCTGCAGGTTCGGTTACAGTTGGACAACGTTTATGTGCATATTTGGATTTTCTTTTTGTATTTTTGCTTGGGACTGTTGCTCTGCACAAGTATGTACATTTCTAATGTGATTCACCAAATAACGGTTGTTTTGTTTTTGCTTTCTTTGTCTACCGCAGGAGAATATCCTCAATCATCTAAAACGATGCCTTAAGCAACGCAGCAGTTTAGTTCGTCACCATGGCAACAGTCTCCCACTGCAACCTCATCCCCACAGACCCGCTCAGCATAACCGTGGAAATGCATTCATTTTGCGCTTCGCAGAACAGTAATGCATTGGCATTTTTCGCATGCAGTGTCGTAAGCAAATCTTACACCTACCACCCACAGGACATGACATACAAGGTTGTTCCCACTAACACGAACATACATACATACATACATACATACATACATACATACATGCATACATACATACATTCATACATTCATACATACATGCAAACTGTCACACATGCAGCCATTTCCTTTTGCTGTTTCGTTTATTTTTTTCTTACAACTGGAGCATTTATTTAGAAGATGAATGAAGCCTGGAGGGATTTATTTTGCTGTTATGATAAAACTTTTTGTGCCAAAAGCTTCCTTGGTGCACCAGGACTTGGTTAAAGGCACAAAACTGCAGTGGAGAGTGGTGGACAAGCTGGATCAGTGTGTTTGATTTGATTTCGCTTTTGTGTTTTTTTTTTAAGGCAGTACATCCCTCTGAAGATGGATCAGTTTGCTCATGTGACATTTTTTTATAATTCTTTAACACAAGCGTATATATATATATATTGTCCGCACCTTTTTTTGAGCTGGATTTTTCCCCTCCAAAACCCGGACAACAGTACAGAGGACTCTTCTGCATTGAACCAGTGCACAACAGGGAAGACTGTAGCTGGGTTTTGGATGGGGTTCTGGATAACAGAGGGCAAGGTGGGGCATTTGCACTTTGTAGTTTAACAATATCCATCAAAACAACGTGCTGCTTTTTTTTTTATCATGTCCAAATAAGCATCCCAGGTAAAACAGATGTTGGATGATGTGATTTATGGCGTACTGTGTGTATGAATGTGTGAATGTGTGTATCACAGTTGCAGTGGCAGTTTTTTCCTTCATTATTTTTTTTCCAGAACTAAAAGAATCAGCTTTATGTGCTTTTGTGGCCAACTCGTGCGACAACGTGCTGCTTACTTACGGACAGTATGACCTGGGAGATGCGATTCACACAGTGTAATGTGCAGCGTCCTTTACTGCCTGTTCAGAGTCGGCTCATTATGTCATTGTGATGATCAGTGATTGTTTGCCCAAAATGTCCACAGCCGCCTGTCCTCTCTACAACTCAGTGCTTCAACCTTTTACTAAGACACCAACACTCATTGCCAAATAAGGGCTTGACCTGTCAGGAGCTCTGACCTTTGAACCTGCAGTGTTTACAACATTCTAGCTTTATCTTGTCCTCACTGGCCAATGTCATGGTTCTACTAGTCGTCGTGGCAAAGTATTTTACACGAGTTGTATCTGTCCTGCCTGCCTGCGTGGTTCATGATGTCCTAGCAGTACCAGTGCTGGCCAGCAGGTGGCAGCGAGGCTGTTATCGGTCCTCATTCAGATGAAGAGTCTTCTGTTCTTCACAAGCATCTGGCTCAGGGCTCAATTCCCTTTCTGTCTAATTTGCAGGTGCAGCTTTCTTCAGAATGAAATGATCTCATAACATGATTCACTATGTTCCTGTGATAACTCGCCCAGAGGAAACCAAAGTGAATCGAACCTCTCTGATCTGCTGTTAAAAAATAGGTGTCAGCTACAGCTTCTGCTCCTCGTCTACTCTTTACCTAATTTGGAATCAGCTCAGTGTTGTGACCTTGAACTGTTTTAAGGAGATTTAGCTTGTGTAAAACTTGACGGTGTATTGTCTCGTCAATGTTGAACGTCTGGGATGTGACTTAAATCCACAATAACTGAATTTTTAAAGCACCAGAAAACTTAAAAGACTGAATCACCAATGCATCATGTGTATATCTGTAAAAAGATGAACAACCAAATAACAACTTTTCAGGAATGGGGTACATCCTTTTCCATTGAATCTCTGTCATTTATATGCAACTTTCCGATTTACATTAGAGGGAGATTTGAGGTGTCACTGCTCATATCTGTCTGGTCACATCCCTGACTGTTGCTGGAGGAGCCTCCCAATAACTAGACCCAATCAGACTCTGGTGATGTACAAGTTTACAGCTGTTTCTATCTTGTAGAGTGAACTTGTGGTGTTGTACAGTGTGTTTCTCTGTAATCGTCATAGTTGTGCTGAATGTACCACAGACAGGACAGTGAGGGCTGAAAGACGGAGCGTTAAAACAGCGTTTATGTTTACATTTTATCCTTCCAATCATGTTTGACCTTTTGAGCCCAAGTGTATTTCTTTACAAACAGGCGATTGGAGGATATTTGTTGCTGTATGGATTACGCTGTCATGGTGGCTGAGTACATACTGTGGTTTGATTTCAGCAGATGAAGTTGCTGTTGAAGATCATGGTCCAAGCAAAGGTTGTGTTTTGATCAAGTGTGGATCTTTTTTTCTAAACCTCATATGTAACCATTTAGTTCTATATTGTATAACGAGCTTGGCTCATTCCCCTCATCACGTATGATCACTGATTATAAAACATTGGACCTGTCTTCTTGTTTTACAAATTGCCTATAATCTGCCTCTGGGTGGTTTGGCCTTGACACTAGAGTGTGTGTGTGTGTTTTGTAAAGCTTAATTGAGTGTTCCTTTTGTAATACTGTCGTCTTGGGAGAAATGCTTTAGTGTAGCCATGAGATTTTTTACATGTCTGTGTACATACATAACTGTCTGACTAATGATGAAAAGCATGGCACCTAACTTCTGTAAACAACGTTTTAACATAACAGGGATTTTGGTGATAAAACAGACTGGGTTTTTTTTCAACTGTAGCCAGGGGTGTCATGTTTTAATTCAGCTTTACCCTGGTCTGCTAAAACTTTATAAATGAAGCCATAAAGACTCCTGTGAAAATGGAGGAAGGATCTTGAAAATTCAGTTTAATTTCAAAAAAACATTTCACATCTGTACCGTACACAGTGCAGATGTTGCCTATCATAACTTGCTTATTGCTACATTTTGATTTCTTTTTGTT